AAAAAATTATTAAATATAAGTTGCCTCCGCTTTAGACGTCCCCCAAATTTGGGTTTGTCTACTACGCTTTTAGTACTACGTATTGTCGTGCCCGAAATTAACACTTACCACTACCTAAAGTTACAAATTGCACATAATCTAAGTTTTAGAGAGCTAATTTCAGTCAAAGCATATTACAACTTAAGGTGCCAACTTTAGGCACATGAGTATAATTTGTAGATCAACGTAATAAAAAATCAAGCAAAAAATTAAACTAGACTGGTTTAAAGCATAATTATGCAAAAATCTTTATCAAAATTGCAGAAATATAGGTTTATAAGCAAAACTTGAATTTCGTACACGTGTGTTCAAATAGAAATTGTCTTTTAAAATCTAATATTGCGTTGTATTCTGTTCAGAAGTGATAAGCCAATAACGCATATGCTAAAAAAGAGACCATAGTTAAATACTGTATTTACTAGTCATATTCATTGAAAACAAAAGACTCGAATAATTTTATTTCCATTATATTTTATTTCTAAATTCAGAATTTTCTTTTTTTTTTTTTTTGAAAAATAAAACAAGACACAATTACACATACAAAACTTTTTAACGAATTGTCTGCGTCATCCTCCTAAAGTCATCATCCAAATTTCTAGTGATAGAAAATCAGATAAATTATTCAAATACAATCATTTCAATGTTTTGCAGATCTAGGAACAGAAACATCGATTAATTTCGGATTTTAGCAAAAGGATCCATAGGGCAAACTAATAAATCATATTTGACATAAACTTAATGTTCAAATTTTTAAAATAGTAAATGATCACCAGCGATCCACAGGTCGCCTGCGTGATGGATATTCATAATCCATCGGCCTTGCGTACTCTCTTTCCCCATAACCTCTTTCGCCTTCAGGGCGAGCACTGTACGCACGATCACGATGCTCATAACGCTCATCTCGAACTAAATCGTAATACGCACCAGATCGGACTTGATAATCTCTATTATATGGGTCATCACCGTACCATCCATTAGTAGTACTATTTATTCTCCGTGAATAATCATCATAAGGTGTTCTCTGATGATATACTGAAGGTGATCGAGATCGTTGTCGAACTAACATTTGCTCACGATCATAATCTCTATATGAATGCCCTCTATCTTCGTGCTTATCGCTACTATATCTAGGATAATATTCTTCATATGGAGCTAAAGACATTGAACGAGGATAATATTTTTCTGAATAATCATTTCCCGAAGGACTTTTGTAATATTTATCACGATATTCATGTCCAGGATGCCGAGAATGATAACGATCATCATAACTTGATGCTGAACGAACATAATATTTGCCAGGAGAAGTTGACCTAGTATATTCGCGATAATCACGAACATATTCGCGGGCATCTCGTATAGGGCTAAGTGATCTACTTTTATTACGTTGAAAAGGTACAATAACGCGATCCCTTTCGAACCTTTGTGACTCATTTCCAATTGAAGAAGTTAAAGGATGAGAATTCGCTCTTTCACGCATAGAAACATCTTTTAAAGGTCTATTTGGTGATTTATCTCTTCGTGCTCTAAATAAATGATCAGGTGACGTTTCAACAGGCATTATATTTGAAGACATAGATATATCATTCAACATGGGACTTTTCAAACTTGGCATAATTCCAGTATCTTCCATTTTAACTTCCACGAAATGATCTAGTTGACCATTATCTCTAGCGATCACTATATTACGATCTCCATTTAAATTTTTTACCAAATCTTTGCCATTACTTATATTAGAGCTTTGCTTATTATCTTGTACTAAATTATTAAATGGTAATTGATCAATTGAAGCGCTAACCCATTTTGGAGGTCTAACTTTTGAGTGAATACCAAGTTCTATCTGATTTTTCAATCTTTGCAATTTATTATTTATCTCAGCAGACGTATCCCCAAGGTCCCTTGACTCTCTATCAGTAGAACCTTTATTACTTTGTTTTTCAGTACGTGAAATCTCATGGGACAGTTTGGTATCTAAACAAGAATTTTGTGCTACAGAAGTTTGTAATTGACCTGTCGGCGAAGTTGAAGAAGATTGGTTTGTATTATCAGAAGTTGAAGTTGGAAATTGAAATTGATTGAACTTTGGAACAAGTAATTTATTAAGATCAGAAGTTTGTTGTCCGGAAAGTCTTGTAATTTGTTGATCCATTTGCATTCCATTATATGGAACTACACGAGATTGCTGTATAGATAAATTATTCAAATTATTCCAGTTATTAGGAACAAATTGTTGAGAAAATTGTTGAGAAAGAGAAACTGTAGGCATTGATTGGATCGATGAATTATCTGAATTTAAAAGCTGAACTTGTGATTGTGGAAATTGAGAAACAGGTTGAGTATTTTGTACGAAATTCAAATTTGTAGTAGGTTGCTGAAAAAAAAAAGTTTGTTGTGAAGAAACTTGATGTGGCGCAAATAGCGAAGGTTGCTGTGCTTGCTGTTGAATTAGAGGCCATCCGGGTCCTAAAGGTTGCGGTGCTAAAGGCCTTAATGAAGGATTTAAAATCGATGGTAGAAGAGGACCGACATTCTGAGGTCTACCCAATGGAACATTCGTTCCATTCATTTGGAGAGCACTCTGACCATGTGATAAACCACTAGTACTTAATTGCACGTTTGCCGGACCGAGTGGTATACCAGTAGGACCTATTTGAGGTACACTTTGACCTATTTGTACACTATTGGCTTGTCCACCACTACCGCCTAATTTGGACAGGTTCAATACAACAGGGTTCAAGAACTATTTAAAATTTCACAAAGTAGGCCAAGTATCACTCAAGGCTAATGCAGCGACAAGAACCAAGTTATAACGATGCCCATTTTCTTTAAACTTTTTAAATTTCGAAGTCACAGATGGTTCGTTGCTTCCCCTTGAAGTTTATTACATACCTGATAATGCTCCAAGATTTCGTTGAGAATTTAAACCATTTTGCCTCTGTTGACTATCCAAACTAATTTTTGAAACAGCAGGTGGTCTGCGAGTTGGAGGAGAATCACACCACTTGCACCCAACACGACATCTCTCAGTACAATCAAATTTTTTATGTCCTATGGAACCGCAATGATGACAACGTTGTGAATCCATAAAAGGGTTTCTATTGGGGTTAGGTTAGGTTTTTTATAAACAAAATTGCCTTCTCGACATTTTTGATTAACCTACCCGAGGTAGGTTTAGACTGTCGTTTTTTGTATTTTTCGGGGTTTTTGTTTTTTGCTTCGCTGGCGATCATCAAAATTCTATCATTTGATTGACTGTTGATCACATGATGTGCCTCCGCTTTAGACAACCCCCAGGAAAAGCATCTGATAGTATTAAGTCAATCAGAGGGTTTAAATAGGGGATCCACAAGCAGATTCTAGATATAGCAATTGTTAGATAACTATAGATAGAAATAAATATAGCAGAGCCTTTAATTAGACAATTACTAAAGTTGTATATGTGACTAATTGTACTCTTGTTGATATAACAAAGTCAAGAGATGCCTATTCAGTATTCTGATAATTGAACTGAGAAGTTAATAAACCATGCGAGATCTCAAAGTAATCACCTTAATATTAAAAAAAATAAAAAATAAAAAATTGTAATTTAATTTATAATTTGAAAAAACAAAAATATTTTAGTATTAAAATAAAAAAATAACATATAGTATAATTTAAATCTAAAGGGTGTGGCGACTTAGTGA